AAACATATCCTACTGGCTATAGTTTACAGTAAAACTTATTCTACTGGCTATAGATTACAGTAAAATATTCTATATTACAACATTTGGTGAAAGGTAAGCTAAGCTGTTACTTCCCAAATCTCTGAAAATAATAGTGACGGATCAAGCTTCCCACATTCCCTTAGTGACAAGATTCATGTAACACTTATTCTATTGGCTATAGATTACAGTAAAACTTATCCTACTGGCTACAGATTACAGTAAAATATTCTACATTAGATATAGTTTACAGTAAAACTTATTCTACTGGCTATAGATTACAGTAAAATATTCTATATTAGATATAGTTTACAGTAAAACTTATTCTACTGGCTATAGATTACAGTAAAACTTATCCTACTGGCTATAGATTACAGTAAAATATTCTATATTAGATATAGTTTACAGTAAAACTTATTCTACTGGCTATAGATTACAGTAAAACTTATTCTACTGGATTTAGGTTCGTGTAAAATATTAGATATAGTTTACAGTAAAACTTATCCTACTTGATTTAGATTCATGTAAAATATTAGATATAGTTTACGGTTAACTTATTCTACTTGATTTAGTTTAATTTACAACGTTTTTTACTCCATATTCACAGTTTGAGTGAAATATGTATATATATGAACACGTTAGTGGAGGTTATTCTTTGATTACATTAATCAAATGTTGATACTTACAATTCTTTTAATTGTGGCAGATGAGTAAACGAAAAATCTGGCACTTCGGTAATATTGTTGACGCTAAGGTCCCTGAAACAATAATAAAACTTATGGTTCAATATGTGATACCATATTTTTATTGTTGTTTCAAAGACCTTAGCGTCAACAATATGTGATACCATATTTTTATTATTGTTTCAGAGACCTTAGCGTCAACAATATGTGATACCATATTTTCATTATTGTTTCAGGGACCTTAGCGTCAATAATATGTGATATCATATTTTTTATTATTGTTTCAAAGACCTTAGCGTCAACAATATGTGATACCATATTTTTTATTATTGTTTCAAAGACCTTAGCGTCAACAATATGTGATACCATATTTTTATTGTTGTTTCAAAGACCTTAGCGTCAACAATATGTGATACCATATTTTCATTATTGTTTCAGGGACCTTAGCGTCAACAATATGTGATACCATATTTTTTATTATTGTTTCAAAGACCTTAGCGTCAAAGTAATAAAAATATGGTATCACAGATCTCAGTCGAACAGAAACACTCACTTCTCTGCATGTGTTATCTGTTAAAACAAGGATTTGATTTTTACTCTACGAATTAGCCTAACATTTTTCTTTTTCATTGTTTCTTATGGGAAAAACACTGCTGTAATTAAAGGTAAAAATTATCAAATTAAATTATGTAATAGCGAATAATTAAAACCATCTGGCGACTAGCAAGTAAAACTGTAGTAAACAAATAAAATAATTTAGCAATTAACAAAGGAAGTCGCCTAGCGGTTATCAAGTGAAATAATTTAGTTGATATGTCATTTGACTTTGTTTTTTTAAGAACAAAGCCACAATGGGCTATCTGTTGTGTCTACAGCGGGGAATCGAACCTCGAATTTTAGTGTTGTAAGTCCTTAAACTTGCCGTTCTCCCACCAGGGGACAAATCGTTTTACAATTAATATATGATTGGTTAGAAGTTCTTACAGGTGACTGTATCATAAGAAATCACCTGAAAATCACCCTCGATGTGATTGGTTAGAACTCCTTAACGGTGTCTGTATTAAACGGAATCACCCAAAACTCACGCCTGATGGGGACGGTAAAGAGGGACTGGTAATACAAAAGTAAGAAAACACGAAATTAATTTTCCGGCGCAAGTGATAACGCAAACAAAATAAATTAGAAACACACCGTCTTTACAACAAGTACACCACACTTAAATAGAATCTGACTGGAGACTTATGCATGATTATATCACGGCATTTTTCTTGAATTCTGAGGGATTCCAAACACATACGTTTAAACCTTATGAACAAACATTTTGACTTGTGCGTCAAGTTTTTTGTAAATCTTGTAAAGTATGCGTGTAAAGATAATAAAGTAGGCCTAACTTTAACATGCAAGGACTAAAAAACGTACTCCCTGACAAAGGCGTCTATCTTTTGAAAACAAAATATAGAAATTTATACATTCAAGATGATTGAGATTGAGTGTCATATGAACTATTATTTTTAAAGTCAGAAGACGCGTGAATATAGTGTTGTTTTTTTTTGTTGTTGTTTTCACGAATAAACCGGAAAGTCTGTTTGCTGGTGAATATTAATAGTCGCACAGAACTGAATAGTTTATGACACGAAGTATGAATATATGTATCTACTTGTCATCTTGTTCGTGTTATATAATGTTCTTAAATAAACGGGAAGACATGAATACATCACCAGTAACATTTGTACTATGAGTTGATACCATAAAGTTATTTGCTATTTTCAGAATGTATTTAATGCTGTATCAAAATTTATCATTTTAGGTTTTTGTTTTGAGAACGACCCAGATAAGTTACAATGATTTAAACGCGCACGCTCTGACGTCAGCAAGCATCACTGGCTGCAGACCTTGTTATTTTGTCCAATCACAATATTTAAGAAATATATAATTAAGCTCTGAATATTTGTTCATCTACATTTCCTGTTGCTTTAAGGATTAGATCCTTGATGTTCCTGTTGCTTTAAGGATTTGATCCTTGATGTTTCTGTTGCCTTAAGGATTTGATCCTTGATGTTCCCGTTGCTTTAAGGATTTGATCCTTGATGTTCCTGTTGCTTTAATGATTTGATCCTTGATGTTTCTGTTGCTTTAATGATTTGATCCTTGATGTTTCTGTTGCTTTAAGGATTCGATCCTTGATGTTTTTGTTGCTTTAAGGATTCGATCCTTGATGTTCTCGTTGCTTTAAGGATTCGATCCTTGATGTTCCCGTTGATTTAAGGATTAGATCCTTGATGTTCCTGTTACTTTAAGGATTTGATCCTTGATGTTTCTGTTGCTTTAAGGATTCGATCCTTGATGTTCCTGTTACTTTAAGGATTTGATCCTTGATGTTTCTGTTACTTTAAGGATTCGATCCTTGATGTTTCTGTTGCTTTAATGATTTGATCCTTGATGTTTCTGTTGATTTAATGATTTGATCCTTGATGTTTCTGTTGCTTTAAGGATTTGATCCTTGATGTTCCTGTTGCTTTAAGGAATAAGTTAACTGAGCGTCTAACAAGGAATACTAGAAAGTATAACACATTCCATTAAGTGTAACACTCTCGACCACGTGTAACACCTTATACTAAGTGTAACACCTTCTACCAAGCGTAACATTTTACACTAACTATAACACCTTCTACTATGTGTAGTACCTCTCAGTAAGTGTAACAACATTCACTATGTGTTATCATTTTTAATCGAATACTTAACATTTGCACGCGGTTAGGAATATTTCGAAATCACAAATGTCCTTCGTCACATCATCTATGTACAAACGATCATTGCTGGTCTATAAGTTATCTGTTACTTTGAAGTTGCATTCTCTAGTGGCATGATTCAAGAGTACAAGGACATAATATGTCTTGTCCATCTCTAACCGATACAGTTTTACGATTAGATTGTGTTCAGCCTGTAAAAACAAGCTAAGTGTCTGGATGCGACGTGTCTCTAACATAGAACGTAGCAAGGATGGTTAAAGCTTTACTAAATCAACATAGAACGTAACAAGGATAGTTAAAGCTTTACCAAATCAACATAGAACGTAGCAAGGATGGTTAAAGCTTTACTAAATCAACATAGAACGTAACAAGGATAGTTAAAGCTTTACTAAATCAACACAGAACGTAACAAGGATAGTTAAAGCTTTACTAACTCAACATAGAACGTAACAATGATAGTTAAAGCTTTACTAAATCCAACATAGAACGTAACAAGGATAGTTAAAGCTTTACTAAATCAACATAGAACGTAGCAAGGATGGTTAAAGCTTTACTAAATCAACACAGAACGTAACAAGGATAGTTAAAGCTTTACTAAATCAACATAGAACGTAGCAAGGATTTTAACTATCATTGTTACGTTATATGTTGAGTTAGTAAAGCTTTAACTATCCTTGTTACGTTCTATGTTGATTTGGTAAAGCTTTAACTATCCTTGTTACGTTCTGTGTTGAGTTAGTAAACTTTAACCATCCTTGCTACGTTCTATGTTGATTTAGTAAAGCTTTAACTATCCTTGTTACGTTCTATGTTGATTTAGTAAAGCTTTAACTATCATTGTTACGTTATATGTTGAGTTAGTAAAGCTTTAACCATCCTTGCTACGTTATATGTTGATTTGGTAAAGCTTTAACCTTGTTACGTTCTATGTTGATTTAGTAAAGCTGATAGTTAAAGCTTTACTAAATCAACATAGAACGTAACAAGGATGGTTAAAGCTTTACTAAATCAACATAGAACGTAACAAGGATAGTTAAAGCTTTACTAACTCAACATAGAACGTAGCAAGGATAGTTAAAGCTTTACTAACTCAACATAGAACCTAGCAAGGATAGTTAAAGTTTACTAAATCACAGTGAAGTACTCTAATTGGTCTTTGAGCATGCGCACAAAAAATTCTACAAATTCGGAAAAAGAAGGAATGTAAACACCAATATTTTACTCAACCCCCCCAACCCTCGCCTCTTCTCAACAATAATACTTCGCTAACAATGTTGTATTTATATTTTGTTACGTATTATCGAATTGTCTCGTTCCGCGCCCGTGTGTCTTGTGTTTATGTTCTAATTCTAACTGATTCTCCTCTTTAGTCAATAGTATTTTGTTCTTCGCCTGAAGTAGGCCTAAGGCCGAAACGTTGCAAAATAAATCCATTTAGTAAGAGTGTAGAAATCATTTGTATTTACTCTTCTTCGTTGTTTAATTCTATTAATGAATTCCACTCTTTCTTTGATTAAATATTGTACAAAGGGATATCTGAGTTGTGCTCACGTCAACACTAAAACTTTTACCCTTATTGGTTTTTAAAATCAGTTCGGTTACTTTAAAAAAATTGAATTATTTCACTACATTCAATCAGTACCTGCTACATCCAGTCAGTACCGGCTACATCCAGTCAGTACTGACTACACTCGGTCAGTACCGGCTACATCCAGTCAGTACCTGCTACATCCAGTTAGTACCGGCTACATCCAGTCACTACTGACTACACTCGGTCAGTACCGGCTACATCCAGTCAGTACCTGCTACATTCAGTTAGTACCGGCTACATCCAGTCAGTACTGACTACACTCGGTCAGTACCGGCTACATACAGTCAGTACCGGCTACATACAGTCAGTACCGACTACATTCAGTCAGTACTGACTACACTCGGTCAGTACCGGCTACATTCAGTCAGTACCGGCTACATACAGTCAGTACCGACTACATTCAGTCAGTACTGACTACACTCGGTCAGTACCGGCTACACTCGGTCAGTACCGGCTACATTCAGTCAGTATCGGCTACATCCAGTCAGTACCTGCTACATCCTGTCAGTACCTGCTACATCCAGTCAGTACCGGCTACATTCAGTCAGTGCTGGCTACATCCAGTCAGTATCGACTACATACACTCAGTACCGACTACATCCAGTCAGTAAATGCTACATCCAGTCAGTACTGACTACACTCGGTCAGTACCGGCTACATCCAGTCACTACCGACTACACGTCTTATTCACTCCAGTCACTAGTTTCTATTAACTCCTGT